AGAGAGAACGAGAGAAGCGGAAAGCAAAGTCAATTTCGTTATTTACAGATATTACGATTCTTTATATATGTATTCACACACATACATATAAGTGAGTGCGTGTGTGCATGTGTATGTGTATGTATATGTATATGTATATGTATATGTATATGTATATGTATATGTATATGTATATGTATATGTATATGTATATGTATATGTATATGTGTATGTGTGTGTGTGTGTGTGTGTGTGTGTGTGTGTGCGTGTGTGTGTGCGTGCGTGTGGGCCATACATTTTTGCAATACTACCTTTCGGTTCAGATATGTAGACTTTCAAGATTGATTTTAAACAGAGAAATCTCTTGCACTACTTTTTTGTTGTTGGGTTCAATAAACTTCTGAAAACTATAGAGGCTTGCTTTCGATGTATGAACCTTATGAAGAGACAAATGTAAATGTAAAAACAAAAACAAAAAAAAAACTAGTTTTCGGAATATTTCAAATAAAGGCTTGGCCTTCAAAATTTGTGATAGACAGTCTAATGATATCTGGCTCTTAGAGGATTGGCAGTCAGTTGATAATGATGGCAACATATATATTGGCAAGGATAAAATGATAAATATTTTTGATGACAACAGCGATTATGGCATAAATTAAGCAAACTGTATCATTTGATATCAAGACTGATAATGTTGTACTAAGGTAGTAACATAACAGGTGCGAGAGAGGATACATGATGTAATTCATGAACACGGTGATTTTGATATTTAACTTATACTTATGAATATACTTGGGGTGTGATTTATGAAAAACCGTTTATTGCTGACCCAGTGTAATGTCAAGAAATATGAAGCCAGATTCATAATCAGGGATTTCGTGGTGCTGTCACCTGGGTATCGTCCTCTCAAATATTTTAGAATGCACTAATGAATACAATGAGCACTTTACGGCCTTTGTTCCTTTCAAGAAACGTCGGAGCCATAGAGCTCGGCTGGTCTGGTGGGCACAGACAGGGGAAGTGAGTGGAACTGATCGCCATTACAGCTGCACTGATTTGGATAAATGTAAAATATTTAAACTCTATTATTATCAGACGCAATCATTATTGTTCAGTGCTTAAATCTTACTAAATCGTCTTTGGAAACAGGTAGACGACGTAACAGAGAAATAGGTACTAGACTCTAGCAGGAAGGCGCGAAATAAGCAACGACGCAACTTTTCCTATTCTATAAATATTTCCTCAGTCAGAAACGGAGCGTAAGAAAAGGAGGCAAAACATTACAAGAATACTATTTCATTGTCTCTCGAAATAGTGCAAAACGAAGAGATGTGTACATGAAGGCGCACGTGATTTGTTGGTGCGATTTAAAATGAGTAGAGAGTATGTTCATCCTATTCTTCTGCATTGCATTATCATCAACAGCCACAACATCAACAGTGACAATAATAACAGTAATTAAAAGAATAATACAGACAACAATAAAAGTAAAAATTAAAATAATGAGAATGAGGCTGATGACAGTGATGAAAATATAGTAATATGAATAAAAATAAGAATCGGATTAAGAATGAGGATGATAACAATGATATCAACAACAACAATAACACTAATGATAATAATAATAATGATACCAATAAAGATAAATAGTAATAATAATGATAGTAATAGTAACAATAATAGTAATAACAATAATAATTGTTTTAATGTCAACAATAATAAGCATAATGATTATGCTAATCATGATAATGAAGATAATAATAATAATGATAATAAATGTTATTATTACTATTACTATCACTAATACTATAAACATTATTATTGTTATTATTATTATTATTATTATTATTATTATCATTATTATTATTATTATTATTATTATTAGTAGTAGTAGTAGTAGTAGTAGTAGTAGTAGTAGTAGTAGTAGTAGTATCATTATTATTATTATTATCATTATTATTATTATATTTATTGCTATTGTTATTATTATCATTATTATTACTATTACTATCGTCATTATTATTATAATGATGACAATAATAGTAATAGTAATAATAACAATAGTAATAATAACAACAATAATGATGATAATGATAATTATGATAATATTATGATAATAATAATGATGAAAAAATACAATAATAATAATGCTGATAATGATAATGATAATGGAGATCATAATGGTAATAATAATAATAATAACAATAATAATAATAATAATATTAATAATAATAATAATAATAATAATGGAATTCGGAATTAATAAATGTGGAATGTTAAACATCAAAAATGGAAGAGTAACACATACTGACGGAATCGAAGTCGGGGAAAACATCATCAAAAATATCGAAACAGACGGTTACAAATATCTAGGGATATTAGAATATGATAACATAAAACATGAAGATATGAAAGCAAAAATTAAAAGAGAATACCTCAAAAGAATAAGAGCTATCCTAAAATCGGAGCTAAACGGAGGGAACACGATAAAAGCCATCAACACCTGGGCTATACCTGTGCTACGATATTCGGCAGGTATAATAGACTGGACAAAGCTAGAACAACAGAAAATAGACAGAAAAAACAGAAAACTGATGACTATCTACCATTCTTTGCATCCAAGAGCGTGCACAGCAAGATTATACCTAAAGAGAAGTGAAGGAGGTAGAGGATTGATAAGCGCAGAAGAAGCCATCAGAACCGAATGCTGCGCCCTGGGCCAATATATAAAGGAATCTACCAACCCAATCCTAAGATTGGCCTGGACCAACAATATAATAAAAGAAAACGAAGATAGCAAATCAAAGAGAGAATGACAGAGGAGAAAAGAACTCAATGGATAGAAAAACCTCTCGCAGGGCAATACCATCGCCAAGTACAAGAAATCCAGGGCAAGAACAGCTGGAACTGGTTAAAAAGAGGAGAAATAAAAAAAGAAACGGAGGGACTAATAACATCAGCCCAAGATCAAGCTCTAAGAACCAGAGTAATAAGAGCAAGAATAGAAGGTAGAGGGGGAAATACAAAGTGCAGAATGTGCGGCCAAAAGGATGAGACCATAAATCACATCACCAGTGAATGCTCCAAATTGGCACAGAAGGAGTATAAAAGGAGGCACGACAAATTAGCTACAGCAATACACTGGGCACTTTGCAAACACCACAAACTCCCTAGTACAGCAGACGTATGGTACAAGCACGAGCCACAGGCAGTAGTAGAAGATGAAAACACAAAATTACTATGGGACCAATACATACAAACAGACCAAGAGGTCCAAGCTCGAAGACCAGACATAGTAATAATAAGAAAAGACAAAGAAGAATTTGACATAATAGACATAGCGGTACCATACGATTCCAGAACAATGGAAAAAGAACGAGAAAAAATAGAAAAATATCAAGATCTTAAGTTCCAAATGGCAAGATGTTGGAAGATGAAAGGAAAAGTAATACCAATAGTGATAGGAGCATTAGGAGCTATGCCACCAAAGCTGGATGAATATCTAAAAAGAATTGGGTGCGACAGAATACATCCTGGCCTAATACAAAAAAGTGTGTTACTCAGCTCAGCTGGAATATTAAGAAGAATCCTCGACACTTAGGACACAGGCAGTGCCCCGTGAAGAGTCTCAAAAATAAAGACAAGAGAAAAATACCAGTAACATCAACTGTGAAACTATAATAATAATAATAATAATAATAATAATAATAATAAAAGCAATAATAGTAATGATAGTAATAGTAATGATATCAATGATAATGATAATAATAATGATGATGATAATATAAATAGTAATAGTACTGAGAATAATGATAACAATAATATTGATAAAAAATAATAACAACAACAACAACAATAATAATGATAATGGTAATAATAATAATAACAATAATAATAATAATAATAATAACAATAACAATAAGAAAGGTAATAATGATCGTAATTACTATAATGATAATAATGATATTAATGATAATAATAAAAACAAAAATAATGGTCATAAATAGAATGACAGTAATTGCAATATTAGTAATGGTAATAATAATAACAATGATATAATAATAATGATAATAATAGGGATTATAATGATACTGATAATGATGATGAGAATATTAATAACAAAGATGATGATATTGATGATGATGATGATGATGATGATAGTAATAATAGTAGTTGTAATAATGATAATAATGATAATAATAATAATAATAATAATAATAACAATAATAATAATGATAATAATAATAATGATAAAAATAACAATAATGACGATGATAATTATGATTATAATACTAGCATCAATAACTACAACAGCAACAAAAACAATAATACTGATAATAATTTTGATAATAGTAATAACAACAATAATACAAAGAGAAATAATAAGAATTTGGTTAAAGGTACCGACAGTGATATAAGAAACAACAATGAAAATAACAACAACAATAACGAGGATGACATGACATGATCGAAATAAGTATCATTATTTTTTGCTTACTATTTACTATTCCTGTGCTTTGGTATCTTCGGGCAAGCATGACTGTGATGCTGGGAACCTCTGATTCAATGAAGAGTTAACTTTCGGTACGTTTTTGTTTTTTATTTGATGCAGGTATAACGGATTTGTGTGTAAACAGGCATTGCAAAGTTAAGCTTATTTGTTTCTTCATATATAATTTTTACTTAGTAATTTCATTATGAAATTAAGGTTATAATTAAGGTTATAAATTAAGTTAATAATGGCACCACATTTTTCGTGGCGGTAATTGTCTGTCAGATTTGACTAATGAAACCGAGCAACAGTGGCATCAGTCCCTCCCCCAGGTGGCATGACTATAACACCTGATGTGATATCCCCCCCCCTCCCAATTCCCGCAAACAAAACACCAACACCGTCCACACACCAAGCAACATGACACGACCGGAACAAATTACGTCACATTTGCATCACCCCCCCCCCTCTCTCTACCATAATACACGGCACAACTGTATGTCACTCACATTCGCCCTTTTCTCGCCAG